AGGTCTTATCTAAACTTCAGCCAGATTCCCTTCATGCTAGCATCTTAACATAACATGGTATACATCTTAAAAAAGAAATTAGGAGCCAGCAGATGGTATGGTGGTTGATGTGCTGGACTCCCAAATGGCTCACTGGTTCAAATCCCTGACCTGGCAGCTTTCTGTCTGTCTGTCTCTATCCCTCTCCCCAGTGAACACATGTACCCTATAGAAAGTTTAAAAAAATAATAATACTAAAAAAATTAATTCTTTAAGAAAATAAGTTAACATTGGTATAATACTATTAGCTACAGTCTCTACTTCATTTTCCCCGTTATCTTTTACTAATATCCTTCCAGGAACTAATCCAATATTCCACATTACATTTAGCTATTATATATCTTTACTGTCCTTCAATCTGCAGGAAGACTATCTTTTATGACTTTGATACTTTTGAAAGGAATGTTTCTCCAGCGTGCAGTGACAACTTTTTACTTAAGATACCCTATTTAGAAGTGAGTCACAGGAGGGCCATCAGATGGTGAAATGTTACAGTACTGGACTCCCACGAGGTCGACCATGGTTCGAGTCCTGGAGCTGGCGACTTAAAACTCACTCCGGGCAAGTGTGTATGCATGCCCAAAATCCTGAGAAGAGTGGAGGAGATGAGATTGCAGTGTGGGTCCGGGACGCGAACCACGGTCAACTACGTGGGAGTCCAGCGACATACCATTACGCTAACTGCTGGTTCCCTCACACACACTTTTCTATTATAAATGAAGAGAATGGGTTTTTTTTAATTACCTTCAGGCTGTGTGTATAAGGTGTATATGAAACAAGCAAATACTATATTTAAACTTGGGTCCCATCACCAAGATATTTCATTACATATATGCAAATATTCCACAATCCAAGAAATTCTGAAAAATTTCCAATCCCAAGTGTCTCTGTTAAGGGATTCTCAATCTATACTAGAGTTAGGTTTCAGAAGAGCTCATTGGAGAAACTGAGAGAGCACCCCCACAGGGTATGGTCATGCTGCAATCCTTTCTCCTCTCCCTCCATTTGGGATTTGGGCATGAAGGCACACATGCACTCAGAATGTGCTATTGGCCATATGGGATCCAGCCACCTTAACCACCGCACTACCAGTTGGCCCAAGCCACTTTTTAATTTAGAGTCATACAGTCCTGAGAATTTTTTAGAGGCAAAGTGAGAGATAAGAGTTGGGTGTGACTAGACGTAGAAGAGTTACAGATACAGTACACAGGTCTTATCTAAACTTCAGCCAGATTCCCTTCATGCTAGCATCTTAACATAACATGGTATACATCTTAAAAAAGAAATTAGGAGCCAGCAGATGGTATGGTGGTTGATGTGCTGGACTCCCAAATGGCTCACTGGTTCAAATCCCTGACCTGGCAGCTTTCTGTCTGTCTGTCTCTATCCCTCTCCCCAGTGAACACATGTACCCTATAGAAAGTTTAAAAAAATAATAATACTAAAAAAATTAATTCTTTAAGAAAATAAGTTAACATTGGTATAATACTATTAGCTACAGTCTCTACTTCATTTTCCCCGTTATCTTTTACTAATATCCTTCCAGGAACTAATCCAATATTCCACATTACATTTAGCTATTATATATCTTTACTGTCCTTCAATCTGCAGGAAGACTATCTTTTATGACTTTGATACTTTTGAAAGGAATGTTTCTCCAGCGTGCAGTGACAACTTTTTACTTAAGATACCCTATTTAGAAGTGAGTCACAGGAGGGCCATCAGATGGTGAAATGTTACAGTACTGGACTCCCACGAGGTCGACCATGGTTCGAGTCCTGGAGCTGGCGACTTAAAACTCACTCCGGGCAAGTGTGTATGCATGCCCAAAATCCTGAGAAGAGTGGAGGAGATGAGATTGCAGTGTGGTCATCCCCCCTTAGGGGTGATTTTTCGCTTTCTGTCTCTCTGTCTCTCCGGCAAGTGCACACTCACCCAGCCTCTAGACGAAAAATTCCGTTATAAAAAAAAAAAAAAAAAAAAAAAGTGGGTCACAGACCCAGCAGCTGGTAGTGTGGTGGTTAAAGATGCTGAATTCCTACATGGTCGAACATGGTTTGAGTCCCAGAACTGACAACTTGCTTCCTCCCTTTCCCTTTCTCTTTCTCTCTCTCATCAAATTAAAGTTATAACAGGGGCTGGCAGGTGGCATGGTGGTTAAGGGTGCTGGACTCCCATGTGGCCCAGACCTGGTGACTTGCTTTCTCTCGCTCTCTCTCTGCCCCTTTCTGGTCAAATTATAAATAAATCAGTAAATAAATAAATAAATAAAGGTAAATAATTCTTCAAAAATAATAGTAACAAATGGAATTAAATAAACACTTATTTTTTAAAAAGAAAAAAGAAGTGGGTCACTGAAGACATCCACACCCGAAGAGAGGGAAACTAAATTACATTATAGAGGGAGGTTATCAAAAGAATTTGTGGTCATAATAAAACCACTAATACATTTTGATTAAAACCCATAATTATATTTTAGAGAAATTACTTTCAGGTTATTTAAATGCCCTATTTCTTGAAGTTTTAACAGTAAATTTTATTTTCTCTGATGTATCTTGCCTGTAGTAACTTTTTTGTGTGTTACAGAGTATGTGCACTCAGAGAGAAAGAGGCAGGGAGAGGGAGAGAAAGTGAGAAATCACCCCACAGGGTGGGTAGCCATAACACAATCCTTTCTCCACTCTCCTCTTGGGATTTTTGGCATGCATGCACACATGCAAGGTCTGGGACTCTAACCACTCTGTCAGCCATGTGGGATTCAGCCATCTTAACCTCCATGTCACCTGCTGGTCTGCCTGTAGCAATTATCACTGTGATGTTTTATTTGCAATTTTCTATTTATTTATTTGTTTGTGTGTTTATTTATTTACTTAATGATTTTACAAGAGAAGGGCAGAGTGAAAGAGAGGGAAATGAGAAAGCAAGCCTGCAGGTCCAGGATTCGAGCCATAGTCAACCGTGTTAGAGTCCAGCACCTTTAACCACCATACCACCTGCTGGCCCCTTACTTGCTACTTTCTATCTCTTCTACATTTATTAATTGATATTTTGTAAGAAAAATGCCTTTTTTCCCCATTCAGAATCTAGTCAAGGATTATTCGTGGCATTTGGTTATCAGTGTCTTTTAAGTCCCTATGAATCAGGAAAAGCCCTCTATTTTCTTTCTCTTAGGGCAAACATTTGTTTAAGGGATCAAATTGTCTCAAAAAATTTCCCACAAGCCAGCAGGTAAGGTGGAGGTTAATGCAGTGGAATCCCACATAGCCAATTGCACAATTTGAGTCCTGGACCAAGCTGCTTGAAAACACTGGGCACATGTGCATGCATGCCCAAAAGGCCAAGGAGAATGGAATAGAAAAGATTGCATGTGGTTATTCCCCCTTGGGGGGGGGGGGCGGATAATTTCTTACTTTTCCTCTCTTTCTCCCTCCAGCAACCTCACACACTCTATAGCAAAACTAAAAACAAAAACAGGCTAGCAGGTGGCATGCTGGGACCCACATGTCTGGCTCCACAGTTAATATCTTAGACCTGGCAACTTGAAAAAAATGCCAGGTGCCTCTATAAGTATGCCCAAAGTCCTGAGAGAATGGAGGAGAAGAGAAGGGATTGTGGAGTGCTCATATAGCCTGGAGAGTGATTTCTCACTTGCCTTTTCTCTCTGCCATGGAGTGCATGCACCCTATGGCAGAAATGTTTTAAAAAACACCAGATTGCATAATGGTTACATCACTGGACTCCCACGTAGTCGGCTGTGATTCAAGTCCTAGACCCAGCCAGCAGATAGCACAGTGGTTAAGGGCACTGGACTCCCACATGGCCAACCGCAGTTCGAATCCCAGACCTGGCTGTTTACTTTCTCACTTTCCCTCTCTTTCTCACTTGCTCTATCCCTCTGTGGTCAAATTATAGTAAATAAACAAATAAAGTTAAATAAAAATCTTTTTTTTTTTTGGAGAAGTTTTTGCTATAGGGCGCTTGCACTCACCAGAGAAGACAGACAGAGACAGACAGAAAGCGAGAAATCACCCCGCCCGCGGGGGGTTTGGCCATGCCACAATCCCCTCTCCCCATTCTCCTCTCGGGATCTTGGGCACACATACATACATGCCCGGTGTGAGTTTAAGCCGCTGGGTCCAGGACTCGAACCATGGTCGACTGCATGGGAGTTTAGTGACAGCCATTACGCCAACTGCTGGTCCCTAAAAATCATTCTTTTAAAAAAAAAAACATTAAATGAGTAAAGTTAAATAATTCTTCAAAACAAAACAAAACAAAACAAAAAACTAGGAACCAGCAAGTGGTTTGGTGGTAAGGGCTTGGCAGCTTGCTTCCCCCACCCTACCTCTTTCTCACTCTGTCCCTCTCTCGTCAAATTAAAATAAATGAGTATGGGACCAGCAGTTGGCATAATTGCTTTGTCGCTGGACTCCCATGTAGTCAACTGCAGTTCGAGTCCTGGACTCAGTGGCTTAAATTCATGTTGGGCATGTGTGCATGCGTGCCCAAGATCCCGAGAGGAGAATGGAGGAGAAGGGATTATGGCATGGTCATCCCCCCTGGGGGGTGAGTTCTCACTTTCTCTCTCTGTCTCTCTCTTTCTGGTGAGCACTTGCGCCCTATAGCAAAACCTCTTCAAAATAAATAAATAAAAATAAAATAAATAAGTAAATAAACAAAAGTTAAATAAAAAGTAATTCTTTAAAAAAAAAAAAAACTCACTCTGGGTTTGTGTGCATGTGCATGTGTGCCCAAAATCCCAAGAGGAGAATGTAGGAGAAGGGATTGAGGCATGGGCATCCCCCCAGGAGAGTGATTTCTCATTTTCTCTCTCTCTCTCTGTCTTTCTCTCTCTCTCTCTCTCTGGTGAGTGCACACACCCTATAGCAAAAATCTCTTAAAAAAAAAAGGCAACAACAACAAAAGCATAAAATGGTAATTTGTTTTTTCATGTGTTTCAGATACGTCGGTAACCTTTCAAGAGATGTGACAGAAGCTCTGATTCTTCAGCTTTTTAGCCAGATTGGGCCATGTAAAAACTGCAAAATGATTATGGATGTAAGGGTATTTTACTTAGTTAATTTTCTTATTTTACACATTACTTAATGCCATACTTCCAGGAATTCTTAGTCTAAATTCATGGAGATTTTAGTGAATTGGTAATGAATCTATTTTGGTGACCAAATTTAGTTTTTTTGTTTGTTTTTTGAGAGTTTTTCGCTATAGGGCGCGTGCGCTCGCCAGACAGACAGAGAGAGACAGAGAGACAGAAAGCGAGAAATCACCCCCCAGGAGGGATGATCACATTGCAATCCCTTCTCCTCCATTCTCCTCTCGGGATCTTGAGCACGTACGCACACACGCCCGACGTGAGTTTTAAGCCACTGAGTCCGGGACGCGAACTGCGGTCGACTACATGGGAGTCCAGTGACATAGCCATTACGCTAACTGCTGGTTCCCCAAATTTAGTTGGTTTTATGAAATGAAAAAGAAATGATTATTAATCATTTTTAGACCAAACGAGAACTATCTCTGTGCAAACTCTTATTTTAAGGTACATTGAAGTATCAGAATTGTTTTATTCTCTTTTGTTTTTTTTAAGTTTATTGATTTTATTCATGATAAAAAGCACGTACCAGTGAGAAGCGCCATCAGCAGGGCCTTGTCACATCACAGCCATCTTTCCCAAAAAAACTAGCCCTCTAGTCAGCAAGATCCTGGACATGTACACGTGCCTAGTATGTTTTCCGGCCAACGTGGGACTCTGAACCCATGATTGGCCATCTGGCTTCTAGCACTGCAGTTCAATATGCAACCAACTGTGCCACTAAGCTGGTCTAGAATTGTTTTGTATGTGATGTCAGCTTCCAGTGCACAGCACTTAACCACTATGCTACAGGGCCAGCTCTACCAAAGAATTGTTTCCATTTTTAGAATCTTATTTATTTACCCATATTCTGTATTCAGGCTTAAGAGACTAGTGTTTCCTGGTACTTAGCAAGTTAGAAACAAGAAAATAAGTACATTATAGAACTAAAACATAACATATAGGGCCAGCCAGGTAGTGTGGTGGTTAAGATAGCTGGATCCCACATGGCTGACCGTATAGTTGAGTCCTGGACCTAGCATCTTGAAAAACACACCAGGTGTGTGTGCATGCCTGCCCAAAATCTTGAGAGGAAAGCACAGGAGAAAGGATGGTGCTTTCTCACGTTCTCTCTCTCCCACTCTCTCTCTTCAGCGAGTGCACACACACTATAACAAATTTTTTTAAAAATGTGACATATAACAGGGAAGGAACACAAAAATCATAAAAAAAACAAATCTCTAGCTTAAAAAAAATGGTTATATGGAGATGGGGAAAAATGTATATATTTATAGCTGTGTGTCCACTTAGGACACTTAATCATTAGTAAGAGTTTACAATAGTATAACTTGTAGAAGAAAGGTTTCTGCAATAATAGTTTCTTTTTGTTTACTGTTTTATCTAAAAATTTACTTCTGGGAGCCAGCAGGTAACATGGTGGTTTAAGTGCCTTACTCCTACGTGGCCAACCGTGTTCCGAGTCCTGGACCTAGCAGCCTGTTTTCTCACTTCCCCTCTCTTTGTCTCTCTCTGAGCTCAAGTGCTCTATAGCAAATTAAAATTTACTTCTGGAATGGACACTTCATTCTCCATCGCTTGATGACTAAGATGTATAAAACTTGGTTTAATTAAAAAAAAAACTTTACATAATTTTAAAGTAATTAAAGAGTAAAGCTTAAAATTGGCTTTTGTGTTTCTTCTCCAACAGACAGCTGGAAATGATCCGTATTGTTTTGTGGAGTTTCATGAGCATCGTCACGCAGCTGCAGCACTAGCTGCTATGAATGGACGGAAGATAATGGGTAAGGTAAGCTGCCATAATTAAAGAAGGTGACTTGCATTGAAGAAGTTTAAGTTACATATGATTCTGTTTCCTTTTTAGAATATTTATATTCATATTATAGTAAAATGTCAGTCACATTTAATATTGGAAAGGTGAGATAAAGCTTTTAGAGGCAGAGGCCTGTGTTTATGTTAGTTTTCCCCATGGTAAAAACTAAAGTATTTTAATTACTCAAGCTTGAATGAAATATCTAGGAATAATGGGTGCTACTAGAGAAGAATAAAAGGGGGGAAATTATTGGTGCTTTAGGAAGGAAAGATTAATTGACTATTAACAGAGACATATATAAAGATTAGGATTTCTTGGGGCCAGCAAGTAGTGTGGAGGTTAAGGTGCCAGATCCCACATGGCCAGCTTCACAGTTCGAGTTCCAGACCTAGTGTCACTGACATGTGTGCATGCGTGTCCAAAATCCTGAGAGGAGAATGGCGAATAAGGGATTGCAATATGGCTATTTCCCATTGGATGATTTCTCACTTTTCCTTTCTCTGTCTCTGGCAAACACCTTATACAAAAACTTTTTTAAAAAGCAGGGGTCAGGGGTGTTGGGGGAGCAGCACATGGTGTAGCGGTTATGTGGATTCCTGCATGGCTGACCACAGTTGGGATCCCAGACCCAGTGGTTTGAAACTCAGAGCAGGCTTGTATGCATGCCTGAGATGCCAGCAGAAGAAGGGAAGAGAGTGGATTGCAGTGTGGCCATCCCCCATGGGGATTGATTTCTCACTTTCCCTCTCACTGGCTCTGGCTCTGGCTCTGGCCATGAGCTCTAAGGCAAAAACCTCTTAAAAGAAAATAAAAGTTAGGATTTGTCAACATCATTGTTTGCTCCGGTGTATTAAAACTTTGACCAGAACTAGTGTCCTCTTGATTGTTTCATCTCAAGAATTCCTGTGTGTTTATAAATACATACCTGATTTTGGGCTTTATTTTTTGGAGTATAAATGTAGAAAAAAATTTTTTTTTTAGGAAGTCAAAGTTCTCTGTCTCTGGCAAACACCTTATACAAAAACTTTTTTAAAAAGCAGGGGTCAGGGGTGTTGGGGGAGCAGCACATGGTGTAGCGGTTATGTGGATTCCTGCATGGCTGACCACAGTTGGGATCCCAGACCCAGTGGTTTGAAACTCAGAGCAGGCTTGTATGCATGCCTGAGATGCCAGCAGAAGAAGGGAAGAGAGTGGATTGCAGTGTGGCCATCCCCCATGGGGATTGATTTCTCACTTTCCCTCTCACTGGCTCTGGCTCTGGCTCTGGCCATGAGCTCTAAGGCAAAAACCTCTTAAAAGAAAATAAAAGTTAGGATTTGTCAACATCATTGTTTGCTCCGGTGTATTAAAACTTTGACCAGAACTAGTGTCCTCTTGATTGTTTCATCTCAAGAATTCCTGTGTGTTTATAAATACATACCTGATTTTGGGCTTTATTTTTTGGAGTATAAATGTAGAAAAAAATTTTTTTTTTAGGAAGTCAAAGTGAATTGGGCTACAACCCCCAGCAGTCAAAAGAAAGATACAAGCAGTAAGTATATTTTATAGTCTTTGAACGTTTGTTTTTATTATACTTAGTAGTTTTATTGTAAAGCATATAAACATACTTGTTTGCAGTAATGTTTTGATCGTTATCCTAAGATATGATTTAATATGTTTGTGTTAATAAATTTAAGAACAAATCTAATCTTTGTCATCAGGTAGTACCGTTGTCAGCACACAGCGTTCACAAGGTAATTGTATCTTCTTAAACATAAAATGAAATCTCTTGGAAAGGGTATTCACTAACCACCTGAAGTTTTTTTGTTGATATTGGGGGGAGGGGGAGGGGGGAGTTAGTATTTCTATTTGTCTCTGGAAATATTTTCCCCCTTCTTCCCAGTGTTGACAAAGTGTCACTCATCCACTACTTTGTTACTAGTTCAAGCTCCTCTGACCCCCTTGGCAACAGTCAATGCCTTAGAAATACTTAGAACCACCTAAAGGGCAAGACACCCTGCTTCCTTGAGGTTACCATCAGGGGTTCATACCCAGATCTTCGAATTGCTTTAATTGCTCCTGAAACTGTTTTCCAAAGAGCAACCCAGTACATTGCTAAGTCCAACCAAATAGGGGTAACTTTTCTTTTAAAATATACTTTGTCAGAATTGATGTAATTTGTCCATTTTATAGTGTTGGTCTAATAATTTTGCATTTTTAAAAGTGTTTTTGTTTTTTGAGAATTATCTTTTTATTTTTTTTAAACTTCAGATATGGGATGATTATTTCTTTCCAGTGCTTTTTTAATGGTTCTGATATAAAGTGAAGGGATTACTGTTTTCATTCTGTTGCCTTCAGTCTTAGTTCACTTGCACATGGATTCACATAAACTGAATGGTGTAATGTCTGGGCAACCAAAACTGTTGGCTTTTGAGAAAACTGTCAAATACTTTAACATCAAACTGTTGCAATGCAAGGTATTTCTTTGATTGTTCTTCACAAAATATGGTTAAACCAAGTATATCATGTATCTAGCTTCAGTAAATTGTCTTAACTGAGGCAACTCTAGTCTACATAATTCACAAGACCACTATTTTATTTTAATTTGTATAGCCTTAATATAGTGGTAACCTGAATAAAAGTAAATAATTGCTGTTAGAACAGTAACTAAGTTATTAATTATTTTGCAGAACTGAAACTTGCTATATATTATTTGCTTTTTTTTAGACCAGTATATAATTGACTGCAAATAGAAATATACCTGTCAGTTTCCAGTTAGATATATCAGTCTTTTTAAAGGAGAATTTGCCTGAATTGTTACTTTGATTCATTATATTTAAAATTGATAGGCTTTGTATAGATATAGGATAGTGTTTTATTTATATACTTCATTATAGCACGTAAGTCATTTTAAGAATACTTTAATAGAATTTAATATTTTTTAAATTCTAAAGTTCTATTTTTCTTTTCACTTCCCCTTCCATCTCCTTGTAAGATCATTTCCATGTCTTTGTTGGTGATCTCAGCCCAGAAATTACAACTGAAGATATAAAAGCTGCTTTTGCACCATTTGGAAGAATATCGTAAGTAACAGAAGATAAATAAATGCTTCTTATTAGAAATAATCATATGGAGAAGTCATTTGAAAACAATTCTATTGAGAATTTTGTACATAAATTTTAACACTTGAATGTCATGTTATTATATTGTATAGAGCTTATTCAAGAAGTTACCAGCATAGATTGTTTTCCCATAGTCGCTTATATATTTGGTCTTCAATTATCTTAACAATTACTTTTCCATTAACGTTAACTTTTAAGAGAAAAATCTATCATAGTACATATTATAGTTTCTTATATAGGTGCTTTGTTTGCTTGGTGATAATCTCTAGTAAGCTTGTACTGTCTATGGCTTAAAGAGTTTAAATCCATTGGCACTTCTGCGATACCATGCATTTTGGTGTATTTTAACAAAAAGCCTTATTAATCCATTCTAAAAAGGCAGTTATTAAATATTATTTCCTACATACTTACTCTCTTTTTACTTTGTGGACAGTATTGTGTTATGGTATTTTGTGAAGCTCTGTCTTGTTTGCATTTGTTATTAATCATACATTTTAGGCCCCTTTTTGGGCCTAAATATCTCACTGAAGGTAGCATTCATCATAGAACTTTAATATTTTGAAAAGCATGCAAGATTAGAGTAATAGCAAGTTGTTTATAGTATTTTTGTAGGAGTAATTGTTGAATTTAGAAAATAATTTTTAGGGTTTCTGGTTACTTTATTATTATTCTAGCTAGAGGTATAGTAAAGAAAGAAATGTGAGCTGTGGTTTGTTTTGAACAGACCAACAGCAGAAATGAGGTGAGGGGACAGCAAAGTAAATGCCGGTAGTATTGGTGAGGCATTTGGAGAATTTTCATAAGAAGAGTTGTAATCCATTGGTAAAGGAATAACAATGCATAGTGGCCAACTTCAAAGGCATTCATAAGATTACAGTTTTTAAAAGGACTTAGTATTAACAGTTTTCTTTGTAAGAACTGTTTAGGAAAATAACTGAAGTTTTCATTTCTTGATTGTTCCTCTAAATCTGTTTTAGGGTTTTGATTATGTGAGCTTGCTTTCAAGTATCTAGGTTTGGAGGGTCTTAACCTTTGGCCTGTAAAGAACTCTATAAATTTCTATATGTGATATTTTGGGAGTTTGGGGGAGGTTTTTTGGAGAGTTTTTTTGTTTTTGTTTTTGTTTGTTTGTTTGTTTTTGAGAAGTTTTTGCTATAGGGCACATGCGCTCTCCAGAAAGACAGAGGGAGACAGAGAGACAGAAAGCGAGAAATCATCCCCCTAGAGGGGATGGCCATGCCACAATCCCTTCTCCTCCTTTCTCCTCTCAGGATATGCACGCACACACGCCCAGCGTGAGTTTAAGCCACGGGGTCCGGTATTCAAACCATGGTGAACTACATGGTAGCCCAGCGACGTAGCCATTACGCCAACTGCTGGTCCCTCTATGTGATATTTAGTGTGTTTTCATTTTGATGTGGAGACTGTAAATTTCATCTTATTTTCAAGAGTAATCACAGAGCCATGCGGTTAAGAGCCTGAACTAGATCTTTGCTGCTTCTTCCTCAGACAGCCCTTTCAAAAAGAATTAAGAGTTGAATATATTTCGGGTCAGCCAGTTTGTGGTGGTTAAGGTGCTCAATTCCCACTTGGCCAACCATAGTTTGAGAACCAGACCCAGTGGCTTAAAAATCAAACCTAGCGTGTGTGTACTCAGAATCCCAATAGGAGAATAGAGGAGAAGGGATTGCTGAGTGACCATCTCCCCTGGTGGGTGATTCCTCACTTCCCCTCTCTGTCTCTCTCTGGTTAGTACACACGCCTTATAACAAAAACCTAAAAAGTTAAATAAATAAATAAATAAATATATAGGTCAACATTTCCTGAAACTTTAAAAAAAAATCTTTTTCTAACATCATGAACAGATTAAATAGCTGTTTTACTAAATGTGTTTATTTTGATTGAAATAGTAAAAACACAGGAATTTAGTTTGATATTAGACAAAGATTGTTTAACTGGTGTGAGTTTGAGTTAAATCACTTTTGAGTGTTAACAGTCATGACTTTTTTTTGTTTGTTTGAAATTTGCTATAGGGCATGTGCAGTCACCAGAGAGAGAGAGAGAGAG